TTCTTCTTCATGCACGGAACGTCGCGTAATCCGGCAATCTCGTAAATGCGGCGAGCGGTTCTGTCGGCTTAATTGCTTTACCCTCCTTAAATTTTCTCAAGGCAGAACGCAAAACTCGTCTCGTCTACCAACCTACGCGCTCAGACCCCCTGGCTGCTTACAGTCTGGGGGTAGGGGGTGGAAGGAACTCATCGTGTCGCCGGTTGTTCCTTCCTTCCTTCCTTCCTTTTGTCACGACCATCCAGTTTTTAGACAGTATCGTAACGACGACATTAGTATCGCGTGCGACGGCTCGTGCCGGTGCTTTTAACGGAGCCGAATGCACCGGACGAGACCGCGCTGGTCGTGCACTTCGAAATAACCGAATGCAAATTATCATCCGTGACGCGTTCAAACGTTACGTGTCGCATCCTCTGCGTTATTATCGCAACGAAACATTTATTTCATTACGCCATGCGTCGTGACCACGGCGGATATTTTTACATAAACATCATCGTTCGGCCCGATTTTTTCCCCTTCTTTCCGAATTCTTTTTCTTTTTCTGTGTTTTCGAAAGAATCGAAACCTCGTCTCTCGCGTGTTACGCGCGGTGCGATGAGAAATGCGTGAAATTACGGGGCAAAACGGTAGGTTTCAGATCGATATTGTTCCCAGCCATTCGTGACGATTGCGGCCGGTGAGACGCGCGATATTTTCGCACGCGAGATGCATTTTCAAGGTATATTCGTTAATACACCGCGAGATGTTTTGCATAAGTTCGACGTCGCTGCGAGCGGACGCGGTTTTATTCGCGGTGCGCCGTTAATCCATAGATATTTGCCGTCGCTACGTCGCCAGCGTTATTCGCATCCCTCCAGTCGGTGAATGTTTAATGCGGCTGTCGCACGAGGATCGCGGCTTCTTCTTCCCCCTCTTCATGAATAACGTCACGCCTGTAACATTCGTTCGCGGATCGTCGTCGTGCCGAACGCGTATTTATTTTTCGACCCGCGAGGAAGCTCTCGTCGTTTCACACGACGGTTTCGACAACGCCTGCCGGCTTGTATCCGCTCGCGAGGCTACACTCGGCGTCCCGTAATTGATCCCATTGCAGCGGATCGAACGAGAAATAGGGACATTTTGACGTTAGAGTATTACAGGAGAGTGAATTGTAGCGGAGACAGCGGCCGCAGCGGTGGTGGTTGGGTGGCTCGATGGTGAGAGCGGTCGGCGAGCGAGACTCGGGTCCGATTCTCGGCTTCGAGCCGCTGCGTCGATATATTTCCTCTCCTACACGACCGTGTTCCGGAAGAAATCTTGCCGAAATTTCCGAGAGCTGCTACGCGAGCGCGCCGGATGAAGCGAGGAACGTCGACGCGCGAGAATCTCTCATCTCTCTCTCTCTCTCTCTCTCTCGCTCGCTCGCACTGTGCAAGGAAAAGCGACCCGAGTCGAAATTTTGCTGCTTTGGCAGCTCTTAAAAATAGTTCGCGCCTACTTAAATAGCCTATAGACTAGTGGAGACCTACTTTAACGATACTTAGTAACTTTTCTTTTGAATATATTTAATATATTTTTTTCATGAGCAACGAAAGAAGTTCAGGCGATATCTTGATCGAAATAGGTGTTACATTGTTAAAATTAAATTTTCTTATCTTGGTTCCTATTGCGTTGTAAAACTAAAGGTTCATCGAAGGGCCGAAATTTCGACTCGGGGGGGTCGAATCCCGTTGATTTATGGTATTTTCGGTCCGTCGAAGAAACAAGAGAGAGAGGGTGGGAGGACAAAGAGGGGGAGGGGGGGGGAGAAGCGAAGATAGCGATCTGTTTAAATAAACAAACCGAGGGGCAAGCGGTTTGATTTGGGTCGCGCGCAGTCACGCCTCCGTCGCGGTGCGAATTTCAACGCGGCCTCCGCTACTCGGTGGCCACCTAAGTAACGTGAGCTACCTGCGCAATGATGTTTCTTCCCACACGTAGCGCCCAGTTCATCGTCGGAGGGCGCGTAATGCGCCCTGAACAGAGAGAGAGAGAGAGAGAGGGAGGACATTCCTATGTCGCCTGCACCGCGTCGTTGTTCGCGCGCGCGAGATTCAGCGTCAAGTACCACCGTCGAATGACAGCTTCCGGTGTCAAAGCATACCTGGTAGCCGGGCGCCGATCAATCCCCCCGGCAACCCACGCCCACGCGCGCCGTCTTCTTCCATCGAGGGCCGCGCAATTCGAGCGGCAAATGCAATATTGTGGCCTCACCGGCGAGACACTCGAGACAAAATGGCATGCCGTCGCCTCTCTGTCGTGCGAGCGAGCGAACGAGATTCGCCTCCTTTTTCCCTCTTCCCCTTCCCCCTGGCAATTTTCAAAGAGCTGCACTCTTGGCCACCCTTCTCGGATACTTTTCTCTCGCGTGCGTCGGTTTACTAATGCGCGCGTTTAATTACAACGTTTCGGAGGACCGCGCGCGCACTTCCCAGCTGATCCCAGCCAGTTTCCCGACTTGAAATCCTGGCTGTCCTGTTGAATCCTTAATTCTATAACAGGGCTGAAGATGACAACATAAGTTTAATTCTAATTGTATAATTTGCTATATAATTTTTCTCCGCGTAAACATGAAAATTTCCACCCGGATTCCCGCGATTACGGGCCAGTCCCGAGATTCTCGCGCGATTTCCGAGCGACGAGGCGCTTCAAATTCGCGTCCGGCGTTTCGCGAGAATGCGAATGTTTCGCCATTGAATCACAATGAAAATGTAACGGTTCGATACCTTTTCGGATTTTCGGCATTTCCGTAGCTGCGAGTCGTGGCTGGGACGGCCGATGTGTGCGCGCAATGCTGCCGCTTATGCCGTTATCGTGTGACACGTTGATTTCAGCACGAACTGAGGATATGATGCGATATATATTTCCTGCAGCAGTGTCACGCCTCTTTGCCGCCTGAAATTACATTTTATCGAAGTGGACGCGCATCGGTGTCCCTTCAATTTTATTATTCGCCGATGCACCGCGGCCGGTATCGCTTTACCACTCAGTCGGCATTCATTTCGCTTTTCCAATCGCACCTCTCCGATCGTTCGAGGGGGCCCGGGGCCCCTCTTCTGCATTAATCGATGGGATAACTGCAAAAACGAGATGTCGTTTCCCTGAGCGAGCGAAGCCGGCCGGCCGGATGATCAGCAAGTGGAAGTGGACGAGCACGCGTCCGGCCTATGAAATCGGAGTCGGTCGCGCGAGCGGGCCGGCGAATGTGTTTATTTGAAATAGGATATAGCCGCGAACGATTGCGCGCGCTCCTGATTTCGAAATCCGATCGAGCGGCCGGGCCGGCGGCTAATGAAAAATTTCCGCCCGCACGGCTGCGGTCTAATGGTCCAGGCGCGCAGCGGAAATCGCGATTGGCTTTGTGATATGCGAGAGGTATCGATAAGGGCGTATGGAGTGATGGTAATGATAATGAATCGCAGATGGAACACGCGGAGAAAATACCATTCTGTCGGTGAGACGCAAATTCTCGTCGTCGAGTTTCCGTTTCTCGCCAGCGACTTTTCACCCGGCCCCTGTTCGGCATCGCGGGAACGGCAGTTTTTCCGGTATACAATAATGAGAGAAGCGGCAGCCGCCGCTCGGGGCACGCTTCCGGAAGAATTTTCGTTTTTCGCCTGGAGGTAATCCGAGTCTCTCGCAAATTGCCGTCGCACGTGGAGGTTGAGCAGCGGCTTGGGAAATTCCTTCGGACTTATCGGACGGGGGATGATTAACCTTCCGAGCGTACACACGTGTTCGACGAATGTCATCGGTGAAAAACTGTGGACGCACACGTGCGTTAGATCATCTCTTCGGCTTGTATTCTCCACACACGCAATAGCTATCAACTGAATATTTACGAGCGTTTGTTTTTTTTTCCACTTTTCTCAATGGTGATGATGAACAAAAAAATTTCACTCGTCTCTGCCTCCGCTTCTTCCCACACTGTCGATTCTCCAAGAACTTACTTCTATCGCCGATTAACTTACGAAGTACTTCGTAATTCATTGATCGCAGCTCTCAAGTACTCCGACTCACTCAGAAGCTTCGAGAGATCGAATAATTAAGAGATCTCGATTCAGTTCAACCGTGCACTCTTACGCGCGGATATAAGCCGTTTAGCACGTGGAATTTCGAACAACGGGCGGCTGAAGAGCCTCCTCCCCCCCGCCGAACGAGAACACGTCTGTACTCTAGGAAGCGCGCCGCGTCATCCGATCTAGGAACCTCTTACCTCGCAACCCTACCCGCGCCACCCCCTTACTGCCGACTTCACCTTTGAAATCTTATCCGCTCCTCTATACGCGGCGCGATCTTCTTAGAATTTATATTAAACATCCGACTCTTCTTCCATTATTGGCTTATTCGTACATCGTTGAGGCGAAGAAACAACCCTCGTGCCGCTCGCCACCCACCGTGTTCTCGCAGCGAGCGCGGAAAGGTTGCGAATCCTCCGCGACGTTCTTCTCTCTCGCGCGAACGTGCGATATCAAGCCGAACCGCGACAGCGCCTTCTCGTTTTAGGTAGAAATTGAATTTTACATGGCGACCAAGTTCTCCCCCCTCCCCACCCCGATTTGCATATTTGGCGGGGAAATATCTCAGCGAAGTCGCGCTAAGAAATTAATTCGTGATGTTCAAAACGCGCATCCGTTCACAAATCCCGAATACATGATCCCAGACGGACGCGCGTAAATTTGGCAGCGACTTTGCTAATCGAGTGTGTGCAAAAGTGTAAAATGTGTAAAAATTGTCTCCCGTGAATCGTTACATATAAGATATTCAATTTATTGTAATCATTGATTAAAATACAAAAGCTTTGTATTTTTACAGACTTTTAAACGTATCTCACAACGAAATCGTACCGAACTATTTTTCCCGAAAGTTTACATGAATTGATTCGAAAACGTAACTTTCAATCTGAGTAGATTGCAACGTTAACGGCCGCCACCATGTGGAGTAATCGTACTAATCAGCAATTCTCTTTTGTATATTTACAGCTTGCTTGTCGACGGAGTTCATGTGCAGAAACGGGCAATGCATCGACAGGAACAAATATTGCAACGGCGTGGAGGATTGCTATGACAATAGCGATGAGCATAACTGTCGTAAGTATTATCTCCATATCTGAGAGACACTCGTTCGCATTCATCGTGCGGTTATTCGCATGCGTACGTATGTAGATTGTCAATGTGTGGGGCCTTGCGATGGTGGTATTGCTCATCGATCGACTTACGGATTTATCTTTTCGAATTCGTAAGCTCTTCTTCCTCGAGCTACTCTGTGCGCCAACTTGCTTAACAATACAACCGTATATTCTCGTACGCTTCACGGCATTCACGAGCGGTCAGTTTTCCCGTACGGGCAGCACGAGACGACTTTCTTCTACTTCGAGGCAATATCGGATACTCTGAAACCTATACTGTGCAGAAAAGTCCGGGAAAATTTCTATGCGGGAGCTAGACGCTCGACGGGCGGTTTTCCAGATGATCGAAAGAAATTCAAACGCGACAGTGATCACCACAGCGCCGTCGTCGTCGCTATCGCGCCGGCACATCGACGCTCCGTATGACGTTGCCGCTCGTACGGGGGGGAGGGATCACAAGCGGAAATAAATTCTGTAACGAGATCGCATAAGCGCGCGAGGCCTGCGTGCCGATAGAGAGGTATCTTCCCGTGGAATCGTCACTAATACCGACGCCCCCGCGTGTACCCGGCATTATTTATCGCCGGCCGGGCATGTCAGATCTGCATGCGACCGCGCCGGAACTAATCGCGAATGCCTCCGCGACGTATTACGATGAGCTCAATAATTATAATAGCTATGACAATAACAATAGCGTGTGCTCGGGGAGAAAAAAGGGTATATAACTGGGAGATAGTTGGAATAACGGTATGTGTGTGTATGTATGGTGTATGTGTTGCGATGATGTCGCTGGTTGTGGTGGTGATAGCGTTTCTCGGCCTTGCGTTTAAGGCCGTTGCACCCATCGCGACATCGGCGTGTTCATCCCTTTCTCCTTGCGCCATCGAGCCCATCTGTCCCACAATCCCCCTTTCTCCAATTACGTCGGTTTATTATTTCCGTCGTCTTCTGCGAAGACACGCGCTTACGAACGTGTGTGCATCGCTAACTACCACTACTACGCCCCGTCGGTCTAATTTTTTCCCTCCTTCCCCCAAGTAGCCCTTTCGTAAACAGGGAGGGATACTTTAAGGCCGGAAGATCGGGGGGATCGTCACGATCACGGGGAGAGAGGGGGGACTCGTACGAAAATTTATAATCGGAGGAGCCTCGATCGAATCGGCCAGCAGATTGTCCTGCGGATCTCGCGGAGGTGGCATTATCCTCCCGTTCATCCGCCTGTTTCGAATCATGACGGGGCCAGAGAAAGAGCACAGAGTCAGACTCGGCTTTGCGGCCGTAGCTCGACGCGAATATTTACTCAGTCAGTTGGTACATGGATTTTACGCGCGACGGTGTTCCATTAGCGGGCGCAACCGTAATGAATAACACACGTTCGACATGGCGCGCCCCACTAACGTGATTACACAATGCTTATGCACGCGCTCGTCTTACGGACGCTATCCGGCCAGAAATGCATCCGACCGGCCGGCACAGGCTGGAGTAAATTCTCGAACTCGTTGCTAGTTCTCGTTACTGGCTGATCGTTCGCTAAAAATGTTGAATCGACCGGACACTGCTCGGATAGAAGTTTAAAAGGCTTTAAAACGAGGGCTGAGGCTAGAATTTGTCTATCGCTTCCGTTTAAATCCTACACAGGAATCAGCTTAATCTGATATAAACTGGATAAAAAGACCAAATCGTCAACGTCCACATAATATTCTTTAGGTATCGCGATGAGATCATATAAATGTCAAATCGAATATTGATTTCCACATGATTTCGACCGGATTTTTTTCATCGACATGTGAACCCGGCGAGATTCGGTTTCTGCCAAGGCGATGACAACGGCGACGATCGTTCCGCGAGCGCACGAGTGTACATCGAAGCCGACCGTCGATAGAAGGAGAATTCTTAATCGTTGCTGCGCGTGATTCGCCGCACGCCTTCATTAACGACGTTAATGCCGTGGGGACGATTGAAAAAAGGTGGGGGAGAGAGGAGAACGTAATAGACGAGAGAGGTGGGGCACGTCCACGCCTGCCGCGGCCTCCGCGAAATCCGGGATGGCCCCGTGTCGAACGAGATTTACTCGCGTTTATTAATCCGCCCTAATAACCGGCCGCAATTTTAATCCGACGTTAATCTCGACGGGCCGTTCGTTGTTGGCCGCACGTCGGCCTTCCCGTCAGCTCTCCGCCCGTACGGAATTTCGCATTTTCACCACTTTAATCTAATTTTGATTCGTGACGGGAAGCACCGAACTCCTCCGCTCACCGAAAACCGGCCCCGAAATCAGCGTCGGTCCGTTCCGCGCGGTTCTGCCGCGCTAAATCTCGCCCGGCTGCGTTTCGTTTTCCCGTCATCGTCGGGACGCCACTTTGACGCGCCGCCGGGCAGCAAAGTGCGCGCTGTTTCGGGAGCTTATTCGCTGGGAATAGCCACGGTGAAATCGTAATCCTGAACTATTCGGGGGGCAGCGTAATGAGATAATTTGACCGGACACGGTCGCTTCGCTCGATAATTGAAGAGTGTAAATAATTGCACGGCCTTGTTGAAAAAATCGTTCTAACTAGGATCTAATTAGGAGATAATGACGCGACGGTGATCGATTTCACCGACCGACGTGTCCCCGTCGTTATGCTCGCCTCGTACAGTGAATAGATAATTCTCGGCCGAAACTTAATTCTTCAAGTTTTACTTGAAAGTGACTTCCCTTACGAAAATCATAAAACTTTGTGCAAATAATCATTTGTTATATCATTAACCGCTTTTTTTAATGAATCTGATCCTTTTCGAGTTTTCGGAGTAACAGCCTAGGCAGCGCAGTGTCCAAAATCGGGGCATAAGATGTCTTAAAAACGACTTAAAAACGTCTTATATTACCTTGAAGACAACTTAAAGATAAGTCTAAAAGATAACTTATGTCCTGACTTTGGACATTTGCGTTGTCTGGAAGTTTTGTCTTTAACATATTCTCGTAAGAGAAAATTGAAATGTACCTCATCGGAGAGGATATTTTGATTTTCGTTAATTACCTCGATTTTAAAATTCCGAGTTTCAGCCGAAAACTTTTACTTCCAAACGTCGGGCTGTGCGCGACGACGAAGAAAATCGAAGTACTCGCTATAATCGAGCGGATTAACGCGACGTCTCCCTCCCGATTAACTCGAGTTTTGCAGTTAAACTGTCAATTCCGCGGATGCAGATTCGCACAGCTGGCGAAGATCTCGCTCGCCGATTATCTTCGGTTCGGGCGAGCGAATCGCCGTGGGCGAGAGAGAGAGAGAGAGAGAGAGAGCTCGTGAACAGATTATTGAACTCGCGGCTCGCTCGTTTGCAATTCAATCGGTTAAACGGGTGAGGCTCCAGGGCAAGCCTTGAACTTAAGATGATGTCGGAAATCGCGGAATCCCCCGTCACTTTGTCAAGCGACCGTCGCGTTCCGCAAAAGCGCAAAATCGCATCGCGGTCCGCTCGTCGATCTCTTGAAACTAATTAGAAACGACGAGACAGCGGGCTTTCGAAGCGTCACGAGGGCGTCGCGCGATTAATTGCGAGTTAACCAGCCGTGGAAAAGCGACGAGTGAATTTTTCATCGTTCGTTCGTTGTCGCTCGATTCGTCGAGGACAATTAACGGGCGCAACGGAATCTTCGTGATTATTCTATGGCGCCATTTCATCCGACAGCGCAGTCGCGAATTATTTATGACGGCGGCGGTTTCNTTTCATTTTTTTCCCCCCCCCCCCCCACCTTGTTATTCCTCGGCTCGATTGCGCTTTCGATCGTGCGCGCGACCGAAGTAGACGATTAATTTTTCCGCGCGACTGAAGTGCTTCGCCGATGAATATTCCGACAGGCGGGCTCCGATCGAGATCGCGCAAAACTAATCAAATGAAACCGTCAGTATGAGATTTGTATTAACCACTTTCCGATCTCTATCTCTCTCGCGTAATCTAATTGTCTGATTGTCTGATTTGATTATTAGCCCAACTCGAGTCGAAATTTTCGCCCCATGTCAAATCTTGAATTATACAATACAGGTAGGAGTTCAGATCCCGGATAATAGTAAGATATAAACCTCCTTAAATTTGTAGAATTAAAGGTTCAAAAGGGAAAGAAAGAAATCTCACGTCGAAGTAGGCTTTTATTCATCTCTGAGCGATTTAATAGGCTATTCTTAAAGGCGTCAAAGTACAAGTAGCATTCGAATTTCGATTCGGAAACTCTCCGTTCCTTCTTCCTTCCTTCTTCTTCGCGTCGACGACCGAGTTCTCAGGTATTCTTCTGGCAAGTGGCTCCCTCGCTTCTACTCGTAATGGACTTTCTGCTTCGCTCGACCCTGTGTCGTTCCCTGTGAACTCGTATGACTCACCTTGTGTGTTCCCAGTGTGCCCGCGCTGTATTCGTGCAATGGCAGCGATCATCAACGTGACTAATTCCGAAAGCAACTGTTGATCGTCACGCATTGTCCATCCGCGACACGACCGCGTCGAATTCCCCGTTGGTTCTTCGATCGGTTAAGTAATTGCCGCCGTAAACGGTAATTAGAGCACGGTAGGGCTACGACGATCGACCGTAACTCCTTGTTCATTTATAATCTCTTCTGTGAAATTTCCTCAAATGCGTGCTAATTAATGGCCCGGTCGCTGCGTGGACGCGCTTAACGCGTCTACGCTCGGCCGCTAGTTAATTCTTCGGCAGCTTCTTCCTGCACGCCTCTTCTTTCACACTTCCGTTACGTCATCGCGCGTCTGTTTTCCTCAACTGCATCTTCATGCATTTTCTGCAGCAAGCGCAAAAACAAAAGCGTATATCTTGTATGTATAATTTATAGTAAATACAAAACACAAATATATAACTTATTTATGAGATATATGAATATGTAACGTGCGGGAATATCACGTTTATACGGACAATATAATTATTAAACATTAAAATTACATGTTGAGAAAGGTATTTGCTACACTTGAAATATTCTTCCGCATGATATAATTTAAAGTGAGATATGAGGCAGTAAAGCGCAACATCGTACTTTCAATGGCCGCATCAAGAGAGCCGCTCAAAAATTTCATATTTGTTACGCAAAATTACATTCCTGTATTGCACTACTTAAATGTTAATTTGACACAAAGTTTAAGTAAACATATATCGGGTGAGTGCAAAAGTTCGTGTTCGATTCCAATAGATTGCTACGAAAAAATGACATATTCAACGGTGATTTGAGCAAAAGATTTGTCTGTTTTGATTTACATTATAAAAAAGGACGATAAAAACGACTACCCGATTTACAATTACTTCCGTCAATGCGCGTCCACAAAATTTGCAAGCGAAAAAGGAAGATGCCGGTAAATTGCAGGAAGATGCAGTCGAATGGATTAAGTTGACGTTGCTTCTTCAGCTCTCCATTCGCGTACGGAGGAGCCTAATTCAATAGAAGGTTATCCGTTCTTAAACGTAGGGAATGCAACTTAATCCACTCGCCGGTGAACCGTTGTTGTCGCGATCACTGCGTTTCTTCGACATCCGTGTTTATCTCTTTCTCTCTTTCTCTCCCTCTCTCTCTTTCTATGTGTGTGTTACGTTTGTTCGACAGTTCAATGTTTAATCTACGTGAACGCAGTAAACGCCATTCTCAGCTACAGTGTGTATGTACATACCATTTCTCGAATTGACCTGCGTCAGCCGGGTCGTCCTGCCGTTCTCGGCGCCATAAATCTTCCCAGATTAGCCGGAATGCCATTCTTACAGAGTGCAGGGATGACCAATTCGAATGCACGGCTGGTTTTTGCGTGCCTTTATCACGACGATGTGACGGAGTCACGGACTGTATCGGTGGAAGGGACGAACAAAATTGTCTGAACATGAGTACGAATTGTCACTGTTTGCTACAACTCAGCCGCCACACTCGCCCAAGGCAATATATGCAAATCGGCTGCTCGCGTTGGAATCTGAACCGGATCGCGTACGCGTGACTGGATTTTAAGCTTAACGCGTGCAAAAACTTGTTTGCAACATGTACATATTTCACCCTTCTTAAGTAATATAAACGTCATATATATTTCTTTTTACGCAGTTCCGGAGGACAAACTGCATGTATCAATATATGTCGCACGGGCAAATATATGTGAATTGACGACAAGATTCCAACGCCGGTAATTACGGGAACGCAAGGCTCGGCCGAGAAGTTTAACACTTTCGCTACCGGCGTTGACTTAGGAAATTTCCTTCACCCCTCCCTCAACAGGTCACTCGATATGTACTTTCTTTTTTATGTAATTGTTTAAGAAACAGGCTCAGTCTGTTCACATATAAAGAAAAGTTACACAGGTGTAACGCTAATTTCCCAAAGATCGGTGCTTCACACATCGAGAGAAATCATTCTGAAGGAGAGACAGCAAATTTCAATGTTGTCGCAGCAAATAAATAAGCATACTGAATGTTTCTCAAACATACCATCCGATCCATATTTTAGGAGTCGATTTTTTCGATCATTACCATGAAGTCCGTACAGACTATTTTTTATAAAACGATCTCGAAAAACAATTTCTAAAATATTGGACGGATTTAAAAAGCACCCTCGTATATACGTTTATTTCCTACGACAGTATAAAATTTGCTGGGCTTCGAAATCACTTTTCTCCGTGCACATAATGGCAGCGAAATGTGTTAAACGACTCGCGGTGGTCCGTTGAAAACAAAGAAGAAAAAAAAGGAAAACGTCATCGTACGCTTTTGGCAAGGCGCTTCGCCTCTCTATTGTCATTTTTTTCTGTCGAATTGAAATTTTATAATCGTGAAAATTGGACTCGATTGAATTTCGAAAGGCATCCGGTCTCGTGTTCCCGCGTTTGCACGATTCCGCGTCGCGCAAATATACGCGCACGCTCGCACGTACACACGCACACACGACAGGACACCGCAACAGCTGAACGAGCGAGAGGTAGGTACGAATTCTCTACTGGCGTCTTGGAATAAGGCGGATAAGGTGGATACCGTGGAGCACGCGCGCGAATTCTTATCCTGCGTGAACGGTGGTTTGCACGCAGCATGAGGTTTGACTGACAATTTTTAACCCATCTCGGAATAAAACGCATGACAATTCACGCACGACTCCGGTGTCATGACATAGCGAAGTTGCTGCGCGCAGAAGAGAAGACTCGCCGGCGTGTACACGGTAATTCTTCTGCCATTATTCGCTTACACTGCGGGACAAATTTTCGGTATTTGCAACAGTAACACCGATCACCGTGTTGTGTACCGTCGTATCGATTCGAAAAACCTTCGTCGCGACAGAGCGTCATTTGGAAAACTCAACGGTGAGACACTTTCCTGTTTGATTTAACTCTAACGGCGAACGGAGCGGGCGAAAAGCTATACATTTAGAACGATGTAAAGCTTTAATCAGCTTCATCGATTTTCCCTCCTCCCGCCAGCATATCTGGTCACACATTTTCGAGTAGTCTCGACGCAATGAATATCCAAAGTCACCAACACGGGCGTCGCCGATAGACGAGTAACGCACACGTATATTTACTATGGGTCAAGTGGACTTCTGCAAACAGCTGCCGTTTTTAATTAACTAAAGCGGGCCATCGAATATTTTCAAATACACGATGCGCGTATCGCGCGTACTGATTACCGATATCGCGTAAACTGCATATATTCCGACGACAACCGGTTCAAATAGCAGCGATAATTCGAAAAAAAAATACAAAAACCATTCAGTACTGGTCTTTCGATACTTTTTTTTTACCCGACGGAAAATAGAAACCCCCTTTTGCCGAGTCGAAAAATCGCGCGTCACCGGCGAGAGCGCCGCCATCGGCAATAACGGTTATTTGTTCCGCGCATTTCTTTATCAGTTTATCCACTTTTCTACTTGTTATTATTTATGTGTATTTTTATTTCATTTCCCTTCTCTTTTTTGTTCCTTTTCCAATAGCACGATGCCGGCCGGACGAGTTCGAGTGCGACAACGGCTCGTGCGTCAGCCAGAACGCAAGATGCGACGGACGAAACGATTGTTACGATCATTCCGACGAGTACAATTGCAGCGGTATATTATTTCTTTCTTTCCCAAACCGCGTCGGGTTTCTTTCTTTTCGTTAAATATGTCTCTTGTGTTTCTCTCGCGACTGCGGTGCGTTCATGTTGCGAATAATTCATCGAAACGTACATTTGCTTCTCCACGTGGAATCATAATTATTAACGTGCTCTTTAATAATCAAACTTGATCATTCAAACTTAACGATCTTTAGTAATTTATATATCTTGATAATCATTAATAATCCGATTATTCAAATTTAATAATCTCTAATAATCAGATTCGATATCTAATTTTTATCTTTTCGTAAAGAACGTCATCATCACAGGAACGAATCATGGGTTCGTCATTTTGTTCGAAGGCGTTGCACATTTTTGCAAATTCCACGAGCGAGTTCTCCATCTCACGCATTTTATCGTTGTTCTCAGTGACCACCTGTAGCGGGGATCAGTACCGGTGTATGGACGGTACCTGCCTGAGTATTGACAAACGCTGCAACGGACTCCCCGACTGCCGCAGCGGCGAAGACGAGATCCAGTGCGGTAAGCTAGCTACCTCGGTTTACCTCCCCTCCTCGATTACGAGCCGATTCGAGCGATTAACACTCGCCAAATCGCAAGTCGGGACACGGGATCCCCGACGGGGATCTTAACGAACATGACAATTTCACAGCGGAGTCCGATCGATTTTTTTCGATCAACAACAACGACACGCGTCGTCGGCGCGAATCGCCACGCTGAGCGATTTTATTCACGAACAATCGCCGAGATCGAACTTTTGCAACGACGACTCTCCGTCGCCGCCCGGTGATAAACGGCCGCGATAAACTTATGCCGATGCTCTTTCCCGAGTGTCGATTACTCGACGCAATTATTCACGAGCTATCGAGAGGGGCGCTTCGAACAAGCGCGACTAACTGCGCCTGCGGAGTTCAACGATTTGCAAGCACGTCGGACGAGCGGATAAAAAAATCATGCTGGCGATCTCGCTCGAATCCGAGAGGAAAAACGCCTACGGCTTAAGATACTTCGCTGCGCTTCGTTTTGTTTAGTGATTACCGGATCGTCGAGTCATTCTCGGTTTTCGGGGAAAGAGAAGAAGACGACGCTCGTCGCGCTTTACCCGCGACGTTCGGATAAATCGCTCGTTGCGAGGACGAAATTCGCGAGAACGGGAATCGAGACACACGGATTACAGTGTCGGCAGTCCGAAAGACCGGCCTCGCTACGCCGTAACGCGCAAACTTAATTTCCCCTCCCGGCACGCTCCGCGTGACTTTCGATTTACGATTTTCCACGCTGACCGAACTTTACGCCGGCCGGCGCGCGCGCGCGCACCGTAATCGCAAATAACGTCTTTCCCCGAAAATAGTTTAGCCCGGTGCCCCGTTGCACCTCGCCCGATCCCGGTTGCTTTTATTGCGATCTAAAGTAAAGAGCGCGAGGTCGTTCGTGCGCGAAGAAAGCGAAAAACGCCGGGTGAACTTTCAGCCGCCCCCTCCGTGTGTGTAAACGTAAATCGTCGGGTACGTTGCGTAATTTACATACGTTTCCTATTTACCGAGAACAACGCTCCCTCCGTCTCGTTAACCCAACTTGATGTCGAAAGGACGGATTTTCGAGCAAACTGGGCTCGACGTCCTTTCGAACGGTGTAGCCAACACGAAAATCCAAGACAACGGCGATCCGCCGATCGAAGAAGGACGAGTTAATCGAGACGATCCAGCGGTTAGCGCGTCCTTCGCAAAAATGTACAGACATCTGTCATCGGGGGTCGATGACGGATGCAGACGCCGCGACTACCGGATCGTTTCATCCTTGTTTAACTCGATCTCTCGACCGAGCGTGTGCTCGGGCCGGCGTCTTCGCATCGTAAATTTCCCCGTTACATTTCCCACGCTCTCACGCACTAACCTCGACCAACGCAGCGCAGCTCGAAATATCCTTCATCCAGGTAATGGCCCGAATGGTCCGTTTCTACCGTCCAGGCGATACATCAGGTTTTCTGTACGGGGCGCCGATCCGCGCCGATCAGTTGCTCAGGCCGGTATTCATAATCAGATCTTACGTTTGGAATCGTCTCAAGGCTCGGCAGCCATATTGATTTTGCGATAATCGATAATCGAGAAGTGATGATCGATTATCGCAATCGGTTATCGATACGGACGGCGAGAATATCGTGCAACAAATATAGCAAGTTTCTTACGTTATATAGCTTTGTATTTTTTATTTTGCCCGGAAAACAAAAAATGATTTTGTAATCTTGAAATCTGCAAAATGTGCGGAAAACCGAAATGTTTGGCCGATATGTTGCATGGAATCGTAAAATAATTCTTGAAATAAATAATAATCATATTTCAGCCATTTCTCAGCTGTTACGGGCGCCTGAGTACGGCTGAAAGATGACCCGTTATTTCAAGGATTATTTTGCGATTCTACGTGACTTGTCGGTTAGATATCTTAGCTTTCCGCACATTCTACTGGTTTCACGATCACGAAATCATCACGTGTTTTCCGGGGAAAATGAAAAAAATAAGGCTATATAACGCAAGAAACTTACTGCATGTATCATTTCTCGCCTATGACATCACAAAACCAATACTGCTGGCGGAGGAAGCCGCTTAGGTCCTTTAAGGTCATCTTCAGATGCCTCGTAGCTAATGAAATGAGCCATACAGCATCTGAAGATAATCTTAAAACGATCTTAAATATACGACTTGACTATGAATATCGCCTTTAGTGTCACATCGTGAGTGTGTGACTTCTCAATCGTTGTTTCCTTAAAGGTGCGTGTACGTCGAGCGAATTCCCTTATCAGACATAAAATTAGTTTCGAAATTTATTAGAGAAAAAAAAAAGAAAAAGTGTCGCAACCTTTTCGTGACTGATCGCACACAAGTGAATCACAGCTGAGGAAAACGAGACGTCCAGCGAGACAGCGCCAAGGCGAACGTGCATTCATATTCGATGTTCCGTTAATTATCCGTTCTTTCTGGCTGTGTGCACGCGCCTTAATACTCACACACCCGGTTCCCTGCCGGTTCGGCACGCCTTTTGGACGGAAGATACGGAGGAGAGTGTAAAGAAAGGGGGTTGCTTGAGAGCCGCGTGCAACGGCTTGAGATGCGGAGGGTTGCTCGCGCGAATGATCCTCCCTCTCTCTCTCGAGGAGAGAGAAGAGGGCGGGAAACGCGGCTGACGCGGCTCAGCGGGCTCGATGCATCTTTAAAACGCGCATGAGTGTGGTGTATGGAAGCAGGTTGCGGAGAGGCCGAGTTTCGCTGCACGGACGGCCGCTGCATCGGCTACGAGTTGCAGTGCAACGGGGTGAACGAGTGCTCCGATGGCTCTGATGAGAGGGACTGCGGTAATTATAACATTCCACCAAGTCTCACATCTGACACATCGCACGCGCGCGCACACTCACACACATACACATACACACACACTCGCTCACTCACTCACCGGCTATCATCCCCCTTTCGCCCGTAACTACGCGCGACTCGCGCGCGCTCGGTATTCGCGGTTGATCGCGCGTATGCGAGGAAAACGAAAACGGCCGATGAACGTCAGAACGTCGTTCTCAACCGTTATTCGTTCGAACGTCATTCATTTATCACACACATTTGCGCATCGTGGACCCTCGCGACGTGTCGAGTACTAAAAGCAGTTTTTCCGCGTGACGTTTCAACGTGACAGACGACAGTTCGCGATCAGCGAAGGAGGAGGTCGGCCGGATTCGGAGAGAATCTCGAGCAGTCTTCCGGTCTTCCAAAAGACGGCAAGTCACGAACGGGCTTCTCTCTCTCGCCGGTGCTCTCTCACACGTGACGGCTGAAATGCGCGACGGTGAGAAGCCGCACGGTAGTCTGAAAAATCTGCGATCTCGGAAAAACCAGCCGCCGAGGAACGACGTTCCCCCATTTGTATTCGACTCTCCGCCGCGAGAGATCCGTCTTTGATCGCGCTTAACCACGAAATCATGCGTCCACCGTAGAGAGACAGCCGTGGCGAAACTTTCGTAACGCCGGGAACTCGGTCGCACCGGTGTCGTCGGCTTCCGTCGGCGAGAGAGGGAGCACGTCGCGACCACCCGCGGCCACAGACAGCACCTATCGACTCGTCGACGAGTCGTCCGTGACGATCGGCGACTCGATCGCGGAGACGTTCCCGGAGGAGGCTCTGCGACGACGAGTCATCCCGGACTCCTTGCTGCGCAACCCCGCGGCCTACCTGACGAGAATCGCGGCCGAACGGGCCGACGACTCGTCCGCGCGACACGAGTCGAATCGACATCGTGGATTCCGCGCGAAGAGTCGTCGCCGCGGAAACGTCACGACTCATCGCCCGGGTGCACCCGAACGACCCAGGTTGTCGGATGACTTGGCGAAGTCCGCGATTCAATGGAAGCGGAACAACGATTCGCCGAGGAGCGCGCAAGCCGGTCGCCGGACTGACGAAACGCGACCGGCGGGAAGCGCGCCGAAAGGATCCAACGCAACGACGATGGGGCTCTTCGGGTCCCCGAGGAATCGGAATATGCAGGGAAATAACGGCCGGTCGAAGGCGAACAATCGACATGGAAAAGCTAAGAAAACGACGAAGACGAGGTCGCGACAGGCGCACAGAGGAAGGAAGGTGCCGAAGAAGGTGAACGCTTCGGACGGAGGCAACAAGAAAGGTATCTGCGCGGGGAAGAATCTTCCGACGGCGCGGCTCCCTGACGACGGGACGTCCGAGTCCTTCGCTGAGATCTCACTGAGTCCGGCCGAAACTTCGTCGACAGCGGCGCGTGTCGTGCCGGAAACAACGGACGGATCGTCCGGGAGCTGGGAGGATACGGGGGAAAGAAGGGGAGCCGCGACGATTAATTCCGACGGTCCGTCGTTCCGCTCGAAGGCGCAACCGGTGTCGTCTGCGCGGCGAACTTACGAGACGGGGAGCAACGAATCGGACAGCTGGGGGGACTTTTTCGGCTACAGGACGAAGAAGAATGGTAAAATTTGGTCTTATTATGTTAAACATCTGAGGCAGACGACGACGACGACTGCGAACGAAATCGGTGAGTACAACCTGGCGAGCGGCAAGTACGATCGGGGCACGCGAGAGGAAACGACGATTGACGCGGGGATCGCGTTGACGAAACTCAACGAGGACTATTACCGTTCCGTGAAGACGGAGAATTTAATATACGAGTCGGACTCCCCGCGCGTGCAACTTCGTCGTTACTTTCCGGAAGTCAGCTGGATCGGCAATGATATCGACGGAGGAGCGTCGACGGATCGTCCTATTTCGAGGGGGAACTCGAACGATCCGAGGCAAGGCTGGAGACACCGCAGCGTGGAGCCGAACGCCGCTCTAGAGACGCTCGACGAGGCCGACGACATCATTCCGACGAACGGCAGGATCGACTCCGGATTGTTGAGCTCCGACGAAACGACGACCGAGTCGACGACCGATTTCGCACGCACGACGCCCTCGAGCGACTCCTCGCCGGAGTCCGAGGAGGAGGAATTGAGGCGTGACTTCGGCGTCTTGTTAAATTACACGGGAGAGCCGTCGAATACAGAGATCTCGTCCCCGGGCAGGGATGAATCCGAGAAGAAGCCCACCGAAAAGCCCAACAAACGGTACAAGGAGCGCCATAATGATCGCCGGAACAATAGGCCCAGGAAACGGAACAAGAATCGCAACGGGAGGCGCAGGAGGAAACCAACGACCGTGGCGACGACGAGCGTTGAATACGAGCGCAACGACGGCTCGAGCACCGGGTATTCCAGGGACGAGATCGCGACGGAGGATTTCGAGGATCGACTCATCAACGACGTGGACGAGGCCGTCACGGTGAGAGCCGGCAGCGAAGGAAGAATCCAGTCAACCGAGGTAACGAGCGCAGAATGCGATGTCCCCTCCAGCTCATCGACCACGTCCGTCAGGAGATGCCCGGAGAAGCGGACCACCGAGAGCGGTGTATTCTTCGACCGGTCACCGGATTACGGGGAATCGACGAGCGAAGACTGCGCAGAAGATGCCGACGGGCCGACCCGAACTGCGGGCTGCGAGAATTCTTCCGCAGCCGGCGAAGCATCGACTCCCGCCTCGACCTGGGCAAGCGCAGGGACCGTCACCGGAGATCGAGGGAGCTCCGTGACCGACGAGGACGACGAAGAGTCGAGTCGGGGGGGCACCACGCAGCCTACGATGAGCGGCACCGTGCACAGCATCTCGGATTTCAGCAGCGAGGAGGAAGACGAGGCGACGGGAGCATCGATTTTCAACGAGGGCGAGGAGCCGAGCCGAGCGGCGACGCCGGCCCCGGAGGACTACGAGGTCGACAACTGCGACGAGAGCCAGCACGCCTGCGACAATTACACGTGCATCGAGGAGGACAGGGTCTGCGACGGCGTCGTCGACTGCCTGAGCGCCAACGACGAGATCGACTGCGATTATATATACGTCAAGAGATGGGAAGAGCATCTGCGAGTCAACGGAGGCGGTTCCCAGCGGTCGAGGAACGCGACGACGGACGACGACGTCTGCAGCCGCTTCGAGCATCCCTGCGACGGCGGCTGCTTAAACACGCTCAGCGTCTGCGACGGCCGGTGGGACTGCGCGGACGGTAGCGACGAAGAGTTTTGCGAGGGCGTCGAAGGTATAGAAAAAAAGGGCGAAATCGAGCGGCGACACCTCGTGTCCACCGTCTCAGCTGTAAAGTTTCTTCGCCTGGACACGAGGGTTGGGATGGACAAGCAAGTCATTTCTTCTCAGGACTCTTCGCCCGCTTCTCCTCTTCGCTGTACAGAAAGTGGCTTCCCCAGAGACGGGCTCCCCGACGCGCGAGATCTGTCGCGGGACGGAGCTGAGGAACGTCTCATCTTCGGCTAACTTGAACGGCTTCGTTTCTCTGTGTCTGATGCTGCAGGTTCGCCGCCGAGAGGCGAACATGGACGATCGGAGAGCCGTTGCTCGCGTAACGCTTTGGGAAACGAGCGCGATAACAAAAGAGTTTCGCGAGACTCACGCGGGGGTTTTGCGTTTAATGCGAAAATGCACGTGTGTTACACTGTGTATCGTCCATCTCTCTGCTGTAAAAATACCACCTGGGGCAGACGGCCAGGGGGATCCTGGTGACTCTCTCGAATGAAACGCGAGACGGCGGAAGACGATCACTTTTTAACCTTTCGACCGGAACTCCTCCGCGAAACTCGTCGCATTAGGCTCGCCTGAGATTTTCGGCGCCCGGGGGAGGATTTGCAGCTGGCGAAGTTGCCGAGATCGGTAGCGATTGATCGATCGTCGCGTCGATCATATGCACACACACACAGAGAAAGATATATGTTATGTACGAGTAAACGTTTTTCGCTTCAAGTAAGTTAATGTATTTGCGATAATGAGCTTTACTCAAATTTGCGTATTTTAAAACTGTTATCAAGACAATATTCTTCATTGAAGGCAACCACCGCTCAAAAGGAATTAAAATACATCGAGCGAAGATTTTTCTTAACAATAGAACGATATTTTTCTGCGTGTATGCCGCGAACGTGCGATCAATCGTCCGTATCTTCGTGTATTCGCCGATCGCGCGTCACCGACGGCAAATTGCAAATCCTCCGCACGGGTGCAGGAAGATCCTCTCATTCCATCGATTCCTCCTGCCATTGGCATCATCGTCGAGTCACGCGCAGGTTGTTCTCTCACTTCTCTCCCGCAAGGATACAGAAAAGACCGTTCCATCCTGTCGTATAAATCATGTGCGCGAGTAATTCCAACGGCATTCTCGGTATTCACTTCCGGCGATGACGACGACACTATTCTTACTCACTACCCGACACACTGTACATAAGCTGCGAATACACCAGAGTGAAGGAGAAGACGGAGGAACACGAGATCGAATAGAAACTCGAGGCCTCCTCTCTCTTTTTTCTCCTTCTTTTCCGATGACTCGAGTCTCGTGTTCCTGCCTCCTCCCGTAGCCGGGATAATCCTAATCACTTCTAAAGGGCTTCCTCACGACGCTTTAAATGTTAGACAAGCTTCGAGAAAGTATCCTGTGTAAAAAGTTCCTCGATCGCGGAGAAACCGCGCGATTCGCCGCGGGAAACGCTTTCCATGTACAAACCGACGGCGCCCTCCGTCGTGCCTAAAACTGCTTTAAATGTCTTTCATCGTGTGTTCATAGCTTGTACATAACTTCGACCTCGAACTCGTCCGTCTCGATCGCCTCGGTTGCGAAGAAATTCTCCCTCGCATCGTTATCGATCGTTGTTTTTCCTTGATCATTCGAAGCTTCTCGAAGATACATCGCTTCCAGCGCGCACGATCGTTGTAATTTCTACGTGAAATCGCGCGACTCGAAGCTGTTTGAATTTCGAACGTCGCCCGAAATGAATCATCAAACATCATTTCGGCGGCGTTCTTAATTTCCGAATTCCGGGCGAACCCTCGGGAGATCTCCGCGGCGACCGAACGGCGAGACGCGAGCGTTGATCAGGAGGGGTCTTTGTTTTTGCCGGGTGGCAACCCTGTAGGTTTGGCCCCGTGCCCTTCTATGGACTTCACCTGCGGCGATGGTTCCTGCATACCGAAGAGCTCGGTCTGCGATGGATTCGACGACTGCCCCAGGGCAGAAGACGAGCTTCATTGCGGTACATAACCACGTACATACCTTTCACGCTGCGGCGCGGCGGCGAGAAGAGAGAAAGGGAGGGAGAGAGAGAGAACGACTCCGTGACGTAACGTCAATCGATGTTATTTTGATGTTTAACGCAATTGGAGCCTGAAAAAAAAAGAGAGAGAGAGGGACGTTTCATCGGTGAAACATAATATTTTTGTTGTGTTTCACCGTCGGTATCGTTGCGCGATTCGTACGATAACAAGTGGCGCGATGGAATTTTAACTGCGTACGCACTGGTGTCGGACGCTCGCTATGTGCGCTATGGCGTTATGTAGCGTTTTATTTCTAGGAGGCCGTTCGTCCGCGTGAGTATAACGTATGCGCGTCATTGCGTAATAACGAACCGATCGCATCTCGCTTCGGAAGAGTCGCGAGACTCATCCGAGATACTCTCTCTCTCTCTTCCTCGCCGCCGCCTCCAAAGTTCCCGCTTTGTAGCTTACGTCCGATACAACGCTTGCCATTGAATTAATCGCTTAATCGTTTCGCCCCAGTGGCTCCATCGCGGACACGACTAGCTCCACGTTGATCAGAACCCTAATTACAGAAGCCACTTTAAATCTGGACTCTGCGCCAACGCGACCGCGGCCAGTGATTTTAATTGCAGGATTTGCAGAGCCCGAGCTCGAGGTGAAAGTAAATCGCGTTTCGCTCGATAAATTAATCCCCGCGCGTATATACCGACGATTCAGGGATTCGCGCATAGTGGCAAAAATGTTATCGACTCATCATAATTGACATCAACAAGGATGCTTGTTGTACAATCGGAAGAGAATTCGATCGAAAATTGACGAAGACGCGAAACGCAAGCCTGCATTTAAAATCGCATGTCGTTTAGATAACTTTATAACAAACGTGTGCTTTTTGTGTTTTCACAACTCCCCCACAAGATATAAATGCTGTAAAATATTTGCATCGATGTACAAAGTATCCCATAACTGACGATGCAAGAGGGATGATTCTTCGTGAAGAAGTAAGTCGACGGTGTTGGGTCGGAAATGTTTTCACGGGGAGGTTTGTTGTGATAAAAATTTACCTCAAAGATTGACAAGTTACACGTCTTTCCGTTCTGTTTTCAGCATTCGAAAGCGCTTTTGTAAATTTTTAGAACCGATGTAAAATTCATGTATTTTTATTCGTATTTTCACAGCCATCGTTTCGACGAATTTATCAGCGATATCGCAAAAACCGTCTGTAAATCACACCTGGGCTTAACAAAGAGATGGGAGGATATTGTTAATTAGTTAATCATCAATATCAATTTCCTCGGCAGCGGAATTCCGTGCGAGACGATTTTACCGCGCAATTTTCGACTAATTTTATCACAGGGAGTCAACCCTTTTCCCCGATCGGTATCGCGAGTTACGGGACACCCCGTGCAAAATGAACGTAATTTTTTGATACGATATCCTGCGATTAATTCACGATGTAATTTAATAACTATCGTTGCAGGATAACTTACGGGATACTTTTTTCCGAACGGTTTGATATATTTTAACGCGCGTTGTGTATATGCGTGCGTGTGTGTATCTGTGTGTATGTGTGTAATCCATTCGCGAGCTATGTTTCATTTGAGCGACGCCACCACCCTGTCGGGTATCGCGGAAATATTATTTTCATACGCATCTCGAATGTACCGCGGAGAACATGATTCCTTCCGCGAAGCTCGATTCTAAATATACCGGAATCGTCCGTCCGCCCTGGCAAACAGCCCCGTAATAGCGTACCATTACGCACGTTTATGGGGAAGCTAATAATCGTGTGTCCTCCCTTCGCAAAACGCAATAGTCGACCCCCGCCGGCAGTGCGGGGAAGCACAGCTGTGGTTGTTACCGTCACGACACATTTTTCGCGCGGTGCACGCGACGTCGTAATCCGCATTAACTAATATGCAGCGAGTTATTTTTCACGAGCACACACACATTTCAAATCCGAATCAATGCACCGAATGGCTCGTGCGTGTACGTTTTCGCGTACGCGAGATGATTTCCAAACGCACCCCCAATTCCCAGCTCCAAACTGTGTAATCACCAGTTGATACTCCCGTCGTCCAAAAGCAGCTTTTCGCTTTCACAATGTGATAACAGCAGAAGCTATCAAATGAAATAGATTACCCCTCCCCCCTCCCCTTCAGAGAAAGAGGATAACAGGCGAAAACAAAAGCGACGACTACCGTAAACGTTTGGAAGTGTGTGTGTGTAGCTTTCGCTTCGACACACACACACACACATACATATATATGTACACACTATGTATACATATGCATATATATACATTTATTATATATATATATATATATATATA